TATCTTGGATGCTGATTTAGAGCATATTCCACATCAGGGAAGTCATTGTCCTGCCCTACTAGATGTTGTCATGTAGCTGGCTCTCTAACTGAATCACCAAAAGGCCATCCCACTCTATTAGGCCAGCTGCTTCAAGGTGATGGGTTACACGACCAGACCAGTGAATTTCATGCATATCAGCCCACTGTCATATTTAGTTTGGTGTGAAATGAGTTTGGGATTTTTTTTTTTGGTCAGAAGAGATGGTATGTTTAATATTATGATAGTAGATAAGGCAGTCTATAAGTCCACAAATTGTAGTTTTGGCACAAGCATTGCAGACAAGGAAGGCAAAGCCACATTTGGAGTCAGTCTGTAATCCTGCGAGAACAAAATAACGCCCCTTCAATGGTGGAAGTGGTCCAATGTAATGAAGCTAAAACTAAGTACCTTGCTAGTCCACCTGAGGAATGGGCCATATTTGAGTCCATCTGTTGCTAACTGATGTAGCTGTAGCTGTATTACTCTTGGTGATAAGAGGTTCATGTTTCTAAGCCCATGCATTAACTTTGTCCCAGATGGCATGGCCACTTTCTTTGTGAACTAATCAGGGTTGGACAGGAATATCTGGGAAAAGCAAGTGACTAACATCCACACAACACATCATTTTATCCACCTGATTGTTAAACTTCTGCTCTGCTGTTCTTGATTTTTGGTGAGCTTTCATGTGGGACACAAATATTTTCATGTTCCATGACCATTTGCAAAGAGTTACACACATATTTCTTCCCTAGATCTCCTTAGTATCTGTTTTCTAATCATGCTCTTTACATGTCCCCAATCATCCAAGCAAACCATTAACCAATGTTCACGAATTAGGGTACATGCAAATCTCTGTTTATATTTCTTTCCAGGTAAAATGAGAAATCTTGTGCACTGCTTGAAATCCTGCCCACTGAGAGGTTGTCCTTCATCACTGTACTTTTAAGAGCAACTTCTTGTTTGATCCTGAACTCTAGAACAAACAATGTTTGAGCATGAGCCACCAAACACTCATGTGATCTGAATTCCCATGATGAACTGAATGCTGCTTAACCCATTCTACCATAAAATTGGGGGTAAACAGCAGCATTTCATTAACAAATGACAATATAGCTGGGAAGTGGAAGTTTTTACTTGAGCAAGTCCTAAAGAAACAAGAAAGTTGCACAAGTGTGGTATAACAGGAAATACATATTTGGTCTTATTTCCAGTCCCTGGCACAGAGCTCCTAAAACTCTTGGAATTTCCTGAGTGACAGAAGTGATAGAAGTTTTTTTTTTGTATTCATAACAAGTTCCTTTCATCCATATTTGAGTTTATGTTAATGAGGTGACTCTTGGCTAAACTTTAGATAGCTTTAGAATTGGGTCTCATCTCTAGAAACCAAGCCATGATTAGAAGGTTGGAAATTTCAGTACCACACACTGATCTTTAGGGAGGGGAGAGACATTAGAGATTGACTTCAATTACCAATGGTCAATGATTTGATCAATCAAGCCTGCATAGTTAAATCTCCATTAAAAACCCCCAAATAATAGGATGTGGGAAGCTTCTAGGTTGGTACATCGAAGTTCTGGGAAGGTGGCATACCTACAGAGGGCATAAAAGTTTTGTGAAACTACCCCATTCCTTGACCTATGTATCTTTCTACTTCAGTATTCCTGAGTTGTGTCCTTTATAATAAACCAGTAAATGTTTAATAGCTATATTGATATCTCATCTATGTTGGTCTTTCAGAAAGGGTAAGAGGATATAGAAGGAACTTTTAGGGCCTACTACAGAAGATGAATTGTGAATACTGTAAAAGAAGGGTATACAATTGAAGGAAGGGTGCAGACGGACTGATGAAACATAGCACAAATGGCAAGTGCCCCTTTGTGGAATTGCTGTGTTGATACCCCAGACTACGAACCAGAGATATGTAGTCCAAACTGGGATTAACTTGTCCTATCTGATCAGGTTCTTAAGCCCATCCTTTAATTGTCCTTTGAATTGTCCAATCACTTTGGTGGCTTGGGGGTGATATGAAGCGTGAGGATTTTATTATATACCCCATGATTGGGTCCACTGTTGTGTATTTAGGATCACAAATTAGTAGCCCTTATTAGATGCAATGTGTTAAGAAAACCTGAACTGGAAATAAATGTGGTTTTGTAGGTCATGGATAATTGGACCAAGTCAGTGGAATACACAGGAATGGCTAGGTCAAATGCCAAAGTGTCAACAGCTGTCAGGATCAAGTGAAACCCTCTAGGTGGGACCACAGACTCAATGTGACTAACCTATGAAGAATGTCCTGGCTCACTGGCTTGGGGAATTGCTCCTGGACAGAATTTTTATTCTTGGCCAGGGATTGGCAGGTGGAATAGCATTGCCATGCTGCTTTAGTATTTTCTGATGGCAGTGGCAGTCCATGTGTGTAGACCAAGTCTAAGATTATATTGAATTATTTTGAATTTCTATGGGCCATCCTCTTGTAGATTCAGGAGATGATCTATCACACATTTATTTGCTCTAGATCCAGGACACTTTGGTCTCAGCATTTAGCTGACAAGCACAGTCTGCTCATTGACTATGTCTTCCCTCATCAGTGTTAGGGACCTTTCTGGTATCACCATGAGCAACAAAAATCTTATTAGGAGCAGAAGTGATTCTGATTTAAATGTCTCTCTTCCACAAGGGGGCTTGTTTTATATGTCAATCTGAAACTTGCCAATGGCTGGATCAAATACCCAGGCCATTAGCTATAACCCCCGAGTCACACAGATTTATGGTTTTCCACATGTCTCACTAAAATGGCCCTAACTGCAGCAATTCCCATCAGAGATTGAAGACAAAGGCTAGCACAGGTGTACATAGACAATGCATCAATATCAATTACACATTCATTAATGGAGGCCATAAAATAGAGATTGGTAGGCGCTCCAAAGGATCCATCTATAGTCCAGCTTGGGCAAAGGTCTTCATGGTGGTGGCTTTAGACTCCAAACTACTTTTCCCTCATCTCAGTTCCAGGGGTTGTGGGTATCACAGTCACCTATGAAATGATATGTACAAAGAGAAGGAGTTTAATTTTTTTCACTTCTCTATTGAATTTTAACTAGAGCATAGGAACTCCGGCCCCCCTGGGGATAGAGGGATATTGGCTTAACCCTTAGTCTTATTTGTTTTTGAAAGCTGAGAGGTCAGGTTCTGGTTCAGGAGGGCAGAATTTCTTTCCTCTGAAAGAAAACTAATGGCTGGCTGAGCAATGACTATACATCTGGCAAATGAGGAGACCACATCAAAGAGGGTAGAAGAGTCTGAGATCCAACCTTGCCATAAACTCCACCACCTGCACAGCAACCTACAATTAGGAGGGAACTTAAAACCCAGAACTTCAACCTGAGGAGTGAGGGGTTTGCACCCCACATTAAGCACCCCAACTTTTAGAACCTGCACCTAAGAGACAAGCCCCCAAAACATCTAGCTTTGAAAATTAATGGGGCTCATGCCCACGAGACCCACAAGACTCTAGCAGTCTGAGAAACAGCTTTTAAAAAGCTTGCACACTCAGTCTTACCCACCCAGGACCCAGCTCAGAGGCAGCTGAATGCACTCAGACTGTAAGTGAAAGCTGCTTATTTGTGTATGTTAAAACGTTGGCCTGAGGGATAGGCATCAAATTTTACACACATCTATGAGCCTGCAGGAACACACTTTGGGTGTCCTCTTCATGTTCTCCTTCTGCCTTTTTCTAGCCAGCAAGCAGCATCCTTTTCTTTCTTTTCCAATGGGCATCATCTTTGTGCTTCCCCTCTGCCTCACTAGAGCCAGTGGGCACCATCTTCACGCTCTCCCTCTGCCATACTCCAGGGCACCAGGAGCTCACAGAAAAATGCTTTTACACACCTCTGGTTACCTGATTTTTGCAGGTATCGCCCAGGAGATACTTCCTGATCCCCTGGCTCTAGAGGCCAGAGGCGCTTGCATTCCTGGGTCCCACAGGACTGTAACAATCAGAGTGACAGTTCTTGACATCATACCAGCCCCAAGACATTGTACAGTCAGCAGACTGAAACACACCCCAGTCTTTCTGAGAAAGAGGCCTATTTGCTTGTCCAGGAACTTTGGCCTGAGGGGCAGATTTCTGGCTTGACACACATTTAGTGGTCTAAGAAGTGATTTCAGGGAACAAAGGCCAGTGGATATTATCTTTATGATCTCCTTCTTCTTTGCTACAGCCAGTATCTCTCAGAAAAGAGCTTATACACTTGTCTGGGGCCCCAAATATTGCAACTGCCACCTAAGGGACACCTCCAGATCGCCTGGGTCTGGGAGCCTGCAGGGATTACTTGTGGGCCCACAGAAATGTATATATTTGGATACTTTATATATTTGCTGCTGTTTTTTTGTAGAAATAACAAATGTTGGCGATGATGTGGAGAAATGGAACTGTTGTGCACTGTTGTTAGGAGTGTAAATAGTGCAGCTACTATGGAAAACATTGTGGCAGTTCCTCAAAAAATTAAAAATAAAACCACCATATCATCTAGCAATTCCTCTTCTGGGTATTTATCCAAACAAAATGAAAACACCAACACAAAAAGAGACACATACAGCCCCATGTTAATTACAGCATTATTTTTAATACTCAAGATAATGGAAACAACTTAAGTATAAAGAAATATGATATATGTACATATAATATATACATACAGCATAGTATTATTCAGCCATAAAAAAAGAATGAAATCATGAAATCTTGTCATTTGCAACAACATGGATGGATTTTGAGCTGATTATACTAAATGATAAAAAAGGTAGAGAAAGACAAATATTGTTCGATCTCAGTTATATGTGGAATATAAAAATAAAACCAAACGAAGTAAAACAAAAAAAAGAAGCTCATCGGTACAGAGAACGGATGAGTGGTTGCCAGTGGCAGCGTGTGGATGGTGAGAGAAACGGGTAAAGAGGATCTAAAGGGGCAGGCGCCGGCTGCGGTCCCGTGAGGAGCATGGCGGCGTCTTCCAGCGGCGAGAAGGAGAAGGATCGGCCGGGCGGTAGCTCGGGAACGGCGGGCAGTAACAGCACGCGAGAGCGACTGCTGTCTGCGCTGGAAGATCTGGAGGTCTTGTCGAGGGAACTTATAGAAATGCTGGCAATTTCGAGAAACCAAAAGTTGTTACAGGCTGAGGAGGAAAACCAGGTTCTGGAGTTGTTAATTCACAGAGATGGGGAATTTCAAGAACTAATGAAATTGGCACTTAATCAGGGAAAAATCCATCATGAAATGCAAGTTTTAGAGAAAGAAGTAGAGAAGAGAGACAGTGATATTCAGCAACTGCAAAAACAGTTAAAGGAAGCAGAACAAATACTGGCAACAGCTGTTTACCAAGCAAAAGAAAAACTGAAATCAATAGAGAAAGCAAGAAAAGGTGCCATCTCCTCTGAAGAAATAATTAAGTATGCACACAGGATTAGTGCTAGTAATGCTGTGTGTGCCCCGCTGACCTGGGTTCCAGGGGACCCACGGAGACCTTACCCAACTGATTTAGAGATGAGAAGTGGATTATTGGGTCAGATGAACAATCCTTCCACCAATGGTGTGAATGGTCATTTACCTGGGGATGCACTTGCAGCAGGCAGATTGCCAGATGTCCTCGCTCCACAGTATCCCTGGCAGTCAAATGACATGGCAATGAATATGTTACCACCAAACCACAGTAATGACTTTTTGTTGGAACCTCCGGGGCATAATAAAGAAAATGAAGATGATGTAGAGGTTATGTCAACAGACTCCTCGAGTAGCAGTAGTGAGTCTGATTAAAAAAACTTATGAGGCAAAAGCATACAGAATCGAATACTGTAGAATCCTGTTTCTTAAACAATAACAAACCTGTAAAAATAGTCAATTGGCTATAGTGGATTGTGCGGCCTATTAAAAATCATAGTGGACTTCCTGTATAAAGCCAAAAATCATGATTTCAGTTCTAAACCACTTGGTGAATATTTAGAGAATAATCAAATGTTGGTGTTAGAAAAAACAGATTATTCAATTCAGTGCCATCTGACCGTGTTCTAATGCAGTTGTGCTGGACTTGTACATTGCAGTTCTGGAAGTAAGATTTGAGGGAAAGGACCCATGTACACTAATAGGCCTCCTGGAATTATTTAGAAAGACAAAAAAAAAAGGCAGCGGATCACTGAATGTGTGTCATATCAAAATAACAAAACCTCATTGAAAGTAAAGGTTGTTAGCTTTTGTCACAAGAACAGGAGAAATTGTCTCAATTTGTAATATTTGTAGTTATTGTAATTTTTGTAAATAAATAACTTTTGTTTGTAAAAAAAAAAAAAAAGAGGATCTAAAGGTACAGCGTTCCAGTTATAAAACAAGTAAGTCCTGGGGATGTAATGTAAAGCATGGCAATGATAGTTAATCACATTGTATTGCATATTTGAAAGTTGATAAGAAAATAAATATTAAAATGTCTCATCATAAGAAAAAATTAAGTTAAGGTGACAGATGTTAACAAGATTTATTGCGGTGATTGTTTCATAATATACACAAATATTGAATTATTATGTTGTACACCTGAAAGTAATATAATGTCAATTACACATCACTTAAAATTGTTTCACAAAAGGAAAAAAAAGAATGCTGAGAGGCCTAGACAAAATCTTCTGAGTTTTTTTATTTATCCTTATACCCACAGGGATGAGGTAGAAGGAACAGGACACCTGTTAGTGGCAGGGGCTGCCAATCTGTAGATTCCAGCAGGGCCCCTGCCCGGATTTGGCCACGAGTTTTCTGGAGAGGGAGAGGGAGGAGTCAAGAGTGGGAGAAGCAGCTGACTGAGGTGGACAGCTGTTTCCTGGCTGGGACTCCCAGGGGCATGCAGGGTGGGCCTGTTCACGCTGAGCCTATGCTTCCCTGGAGCGGGTGGAAACCAGAAGGCTGCAGCTGCTGTTGATGCTGCTGTTTGCATTTTGTTATCCTGGTAACGGTCGCTGTAAGGGCACTCTGAAGGAGGGGTTTCGTGGTAATACACCCCACGCCTTGTCGCTCTCTTTTTATTAACTTCAGCCAGATTACTTCTGGGGGGATCTAATTAAGTTTCTGAGGTCTTTTCAGGGCTGCTGGGCAAAACAATCTTGCAGGGTGCTACACTTTTATTTTTCTCTTACAACTTCAGCAACTTGCTGACTGCAGGGTGTTTATTGGCACCAGGGACATACTTAGAGTCACTCAGCTTGCAACCCCCCCCCACCCCCATATCTGGTCCCATTGTTGGAGAGCCCTAAGCAGTGGCTCGGGTACCGCTTTGAATCCCTCTGTTGGATCACTTGTCTTACTTGCCACACAAGATCAGCTAGGGAATCAGGGACAAAAGAGGACCAGATACTCCCCTCACAACTGAAAAGTTTACGTAAAAAATCTGCTAACAACTTCTAAAAATGCCCCATGGCTTCCTCTAGCACTCCCCAAGACTCATATGCATGGCTGGCAAAGTGCCCCATAGGACATTCAGACTCACAAATAATCAGCTAGCACCCTTATAATATTCTCTGTAGACACCACTAATACCTCTCAAAGGTACAGTGTGGGATCTTCAAATTTTTTTGCATTTCCAGAATGTCATTGTGATTAACTGACTGCCTGGCTCACTATACCAATTTGTCAGGAGCCAGTTGAGCTAGAGCAAAAGCTGATCTACCAGGTGTCAGAGTAGCTGCTTAAGACAACAAGCCAACATGAAAGTAACACTCAAGCTTTAAATGACTTACTGCAATAAGATAAGCATAAACTAGAGAAAGTGCTGACTCCCCTCTATTACATTTTTGTCCATGGACCAGTACCAGTATACGTTAAGATGGATGAACACAGATATGAGGATTATCTTACTGTAGATAGAAGGAGCCCTGAAGAAAATGCTCCTGCAGTTTTATCGACACAGGAGCTTGGGAAGATTAAAAGGGAAAGGGCTAAGTGTGTAAGAAATGCTGATTCAGAAAGGAGAAAAAAGTGTCTTCAAGGTTCCTTCCCTCTTCATCATCTACCACCCCCCGCCCCAAGAAGATTTCAGCAGAGGCATCTGAGGAAGGCCTCTGCAAAAGGCACCTGATAAAGAGGCCTCCAAATGGAAGCAGCTGGGCTAGGAATAGAATGATGTGTAAGAGTACGCCAGGGGAGCCTGATTTCCTTCACAGCAACTTCTTTCAGCTACTTCAATGCATTGGTTGTATAAGTCTGGTGTGGGGTAAGCAGCGTTCTTTGGTGAGATCTGCCAGGTAAAACCTTTGCAGTTGCCTATGATCAGGCCTAAAAAAGTAAGTTCTTAATCAGGAGCTAGATTCCTCATTTTCATTATATTTTTAAAATTTTTTAATGGTTGCTCTAGGGATAGCATATACACCTTAGCTTTTCCAAAATCAACTTCAGATTTATACTAACTTATTTCCAGTCAGATATAGAAATGTTACTTCTATATAGCCAGACTCCCTTTACCCCATTTTGTGATTTTGTTATATGTGTTAAATCATGAAGGTTACAAACCAAGAATACATTGTGAAAATTATTACTTTATATAATTTTATGTCTCTTAAAGAATCTGAGAGAAGAAAGGAGAACAAGCACAAGGTTAGACAATTAAATTTGTGAACTCATCCTACAAAAATTGCTACATACCTCATTGCTGAATATCACTACAGTCACCTTCGAAGTACTCGCCTTGGGAAGCTATGCACTGATGCCAGCACCTAGTATACCCTTCAAAGCAATTTTGGAGCTCTTTCTGGAATGGCCATCAGAGCTCTCGTCGTATTACATTTGATGTCCTGAATGTCATAAAAATGTCTTCCTTTCAATATTTTCTTTATCTTCCAGTAAAGAAAGAAATCATTGGGGGCCAGATCAGGTGAGTAGGGAGGGTGTTCCAATACAGTTATTTGTTTACTGGCTAAAAACTCCCTCACAGACAGTGCCGTGTGAGCTGGTGAATTGTTGTGATGCAAGAGCCATGAATTGTTGGTGAAAAGTTCAGGTCGTCTAACTTTTTCAGGCAGCCTTTTGAACACTTCTAATAGTAAACTTGGCTAACTGTGTGTCCAGTTGGTACAAATTCATAATGAATAATCGCTCTGATATAAAAAAAGGGTAGCAACATCATTGCAACAAGTTTACAAACTTAATGGTCACCTCGTATATATTTATTGCTATTGTTATATTAACTTTCTTAATTTTCATACCTTGTTATCTTAATTTGTGCCTGTGAACTCAAGGTACCACCTGGAATAATTTTCTTAGCTCAATGCAGCTCTGCTCCCACCCATCTCCTTGTGTTGTTATTACACAGTATATTACATTTTTAAAAAAGATTTTTATTGGGGAATTGGGGAAGGGGAACAGTGCTGGGGAACTGGAGGAAGGGGAACAAACAAGTTGCTGTCCTTTTTGTTCTTCAGTCTAGTTGTGAAGGACGTCGCTTCACTGGCCCATGTTGGTGTTATGAGGCAGTCACTTGCCGGCCATTGGACGGCCACTCACGGTGGCTCATAGCAGCTCACAGCAGCCCACGAAAGTGCACGCCAGCTGCCGGCCAGCTCCACTGCAGTCTACGCCATCGCAGGCGACTCACAGCAGCCCAGCTCCAGGTCGAGCTGTTGTTCACCATCTTAGCTGTAAAGGGCACTGTGTCACTGGCCCTCAATGTGGGATCTGAACCAGGACCCTGCTGTTCAGAGCCGGCCTCCCAAGTCAACTCCTAACCAACGCACTACTCGGCTGGCTCCTATATTACATTTTTATGTTATACTCCCAACAGTATATTATGGACATATTGGTTTATACGATTGCTTTTTAAATCAGTTAAGAAAATAAATATGCATGTATGCAGTCTTTTATAATTACATAGTTATTCTCACTGTTGCTGTGTGTGTGTGTGTGTGTGTGTGTGTGTGTATTGAGATTACCATATGGGGTCAACCATTGTCAGCTGGAAGAACTTCCTTTAGTAGTTCTTGTATGGCATGTGCGCTAGGAACAAATCATTTAAGATTTTGTTTTTCTGGAATGTGTTTATTTGACCTGCATTTTTGAAAGATCACTTTGCTTGATATAGGAATCTTGGTTGACAGATTTTGTCTGTGATCACTTTATCTCACAGTTTCAGCCTCCATTGTTTTGATGGGAAGTCATTTGTTATTATTACTGGGATCCTTGTAAGTGACAAGTCCTTTTTTCTTGTTGATTTGAAGATTTTCTGCTGGATTTTGGATTTCACCATTTTTAATACAATGTATCTGTTTGGTATCTTTTTGTATTTATTCTACTTTGAAGAGTCGACCTTCCTGGATAATTGCATTATTTTTTCATGAAATTTGGGAAGTTTTCAACTATTATATTTTAAAATACATTTTCTTTTCATTTCCACACTCCCTTCCTTCTAGCACTCACATTACGTGCATATTGGTGCAATTATGCTGCTCCACATTTCTCTGAGATTCTATTCACTTGTGTTTATTCTTTTTCTCTATGTTATTTGATCAATCTATTTTCAAGTTTCCTAATTTTGTATTCTGATTTTTAAAAATTTATTGTGTAACACTTCTAATGAATTTTTCATTTCAGTTATTACATTTTTCCACTCCAGTATTTCCATTTGGTTCTTTTTGATAATTTATATATCTTCATTGATACTATCTTTTTTTTAAATTTTAAGAGTGCATGCTCTATCCTTTGAGTCATCGGGGTGGCAGCTCAGCTCAAGTTGCAGAGTGCAGTCTTAATTGCGGGTGGGCGGAGCCCACCATCGAACAGGCAGTCTT